TCATCTCTCTATAGTCTTCAGGTCAACCTTCGTACACCACAAACGCGAGATACCCCCTAACCAATTTTAAACTGCATATTCAATTAACAAAATATCAAACTCTTCTTTGCGATCAGCACTCATTCATTTACTGTCGTCCACCTCCAAATCTACTCCCTCAAAACCAACCTCCCAATGCACGTCAAATCCCTCTCTAACAATCGTCCCAAATCCATCACAAAAAAAACCCCCCGTACTCAGAATTCAAACTCTCCTACCTCCCGCGATCTCAGCTAACCCGCTCACCTCGTCCTATCTCACCACGCCAGCGGGACTAAATCTCACCTATCTACCATGACAAATATCGGTTTCCCCTGTCGCTCCCTACTTCCATCTTATCCCTTCAAATCCTTAAATGATGCCCTCCTCTACTACACTATATACACAAACCATACTTATCATATGAACACCCATTCCAATTAGCCACACTCACTCCCTTCTCATTTTTAAATCCTCCATAACATCTTCTTGCAAAATAACGATTCGCCCCCCTCACCGAGATATCCTTCGCGCCCATATCTGCAAATCCGCCACACCTCCCCACCGTGTCTAGGCCGAATCCACACTTCTACACGTTACTACCGCGTCCAAAAACCAATACCTCTTATCCATAATTCAATACTCAACTTGCTGGGGAGAAGAAGAGGGGAACCGAGGAAGTGGCTGGAAACACCCCCTCACACCGCTCCCGCAGCGCCCGTAATCGTGCATCGAGAGAAAAGCACGCGTTTGTATCAGCGAGGAACAGGGCAGGCAAGGCAGGCCGTCCCTCCCGCGTTAATCTCCAACTCAACACAGCAACTCCAAAAGTGTCCTTTTTTGTTGACGGGGTTTCTAAAACCCATGCCCTACACCCCTCAACGGCGCATTCTCTTTACCATAAACCAAACCCCATGTCTTCCAATACCACACATTAACTCACCTTTTACAACTAGGCTCCTGCCCATCTCACGCAACACCTCACAACCTGTTCTCTGCCATGCATATATCCCTCAACACCCCCCCACTCAACCATATTTAAATGCATATTCTCAAAATCCTTTGTTTTACTAAATCTCAAAACACAAAAAACACTTCAACCACAATCTTCTGTGACACACTATTGCGCATGCGCTAACACACCTAAACTACCAGATCCTGTCATGTATCCTAACTCCCACCTGGTTCTACTACTCCTCACCAATCTCAAATCCCCTCAAACCTCTCCCCATCTCGCCGCACCCTTTGCGACACCTCTTTTACATTTGCAATTATTCCCTTCCTGCTATTTCCCTCAGAATCTGACATCCCTCCTTACAACTCACACTTCCAACATATGATCACATCTTCAAAAACCCAATAAACTATGCTAAGGATACCACTCCCAACTCTTCTCCATCTCTTAAATTCATAAGCTCCTATTCGTGCACAAACTACCGA